CTTAATTGACAACATTCAATTCAATAAAATTGAAGAGTCTGACCGATTACTTCTTGAGGCTGAATTTTCTGAAGATGAAATTACTTACTGCCTAAAAGATTGCGATGGTGATAAAGCACCAGGACCTGACGGTTTCAATTTTAAATTCCTACAAGATTTCTGATATGTGATAAAAGATGATATTCTAAATTTCTTCAATGACTTCCATAAGCATGGATCCTTTGTTAGAACTATCAACTTCTCTTGTTCTTATCCCCAAAAAGGAAGGTGTCAACTGTTTTTCTGATTTTTGACCCATAAGCCTTGTGGGCTGTGTTTATAAACCTTTATCTAAGGTTTTGGCCAGAAGACTTTCCAAGGTCCTAAATTCAATCATTGGGGAAAGTCAACACACTTTCGTTGAAGGTAGGCAAATCACCAATGCCATAATGATAGCTAATGAAGTCGTCGATGAGCTGTCCAGAACTAAGAAGAGAGGAATGTTATGTAAATTGGATATGAAGAAAGTCTTTGATAATGTCTGCTGGAATTTTGTTGATTACATTCTTGACAAGTTTGGTTTCAGTAAGAAATGGAGAAAATGGATCAAAACTTGCATCACCACAACAAGTTTTGCAGTTATGATAAATGGTGGCCCGTCTACATTCCTTAATGCATCTAAAGGCTTAAGACAAGGTGACCCCCTTTCCCCATTACTTTTCATTAAATAAGCTCATTGAACAAGCTAAGAACTCAAATCTCATCAAAGGAATCTCGGTGGGCAACGAAAAGAAAATGGAGATTACCCATTTATTCTTCGCTGATGATACTCATCTTTTGTCAACCGGAAGTTAGCGTACTCCTACATTTAAGATGTATTCTTCTTTGCTTCCAAGCTGTTTCGAGTTTACGAATCAACTTAAGCAAGTCTGAATTGGTTGGGATTGGGCATGACGGCAAGGCGGATGACCTGGCCAGGGTTCTGGAATGCAAAATGGCAAATCTACCTATTAAATACCTTGGTATGCCTCTTGGGGCGAAGCATAAGGATGGCAACTGTTGGGAACCGGTTATTGATCACTTTGAAAAAAGTCTTACTTCATGGAAGAGAAATTATCTGTCTAAAGGTGGGAGATTGACCCTTATCAAGAGTACATTATCCAACCTCCCAACTTATTACCTTTCATCCCTTACTATTCCGGGAAAAGTGTCTAAAAGACTTGAAAGAATTCAATGTAATTTCCTTTGTGGGGATGAGGATAGCAAAAAGAAGTTTCATCTTGTAAATTGGGAGGAGGTCAAGAGTCCCATCAAATCCGGGGGTCTTAGTCTGAGGTCCCTAAAAATTCTGAATAAGGCTTTGCATGGTAAGTGGGCTTGGAGATACTGGAATGACACTAACAGTTTATGGAAAAAAGTGGTGGATTGCAAGTGGAATCTGAAAGGAAGACAGGATCAGATGTTGTTGACTAGAAGTAAGTTTGGCATGAGCTTGTGGAAGGGAATCTCTAACACTACTCATTCTGTTCTTGAGTGTTCTAGATGAAATGTGGGAAAAGGCAACAAAGTCAAGTTCTGGTCTGATTTCTGGTGTGGAGATTATAATCTGTTAATCAGGTTTCCTCTTATTTTTGCCCTCGCTAAGGATAAACAGATGACAATTGAGGAAGCTTTTGACAAAAATAATGGCATTGGTTGGCACGTTGTGGTCAATAGGAATCCAAAAGATTGAGAAATAGTGGAATATGAGAATTTGCTGGCAGTATTGAATACCATTCAGCTCAGCAACACTAATGATAGGTTGATCTGGAAGTTGGAAAACAAAGGCTCCTTCAGCGTCAAATCATATTATAATTATCTTGCGGGACATAACAGAATTGTGGCAAATTCTTTTCCTGCCAAAATGATCTGGAGGGCAAATGCTCCCACCAAAATTTCCTTCCTCACTTGGGAAGCTTCCAAGGAACGCATTTTGACCGCTGACAACCTTATGAAAAGAGGCTTTTACCTTTTGAATAGATGTTATCTATGCAAAAACAATGGTGAAACTAGTAACCACCTTTTGCTTTGGTGCCCTATCACTCACAAGCTGTGGACTATGGTATATAGTCTACTTGACATTAGCTGGGTAATGGCCGGATCTGTTCTAGAAGAATTATTTGCTTGGGATCTGGTGTGGAGAAACAAGAAATTGAGACTCATTCCGCTCACAATTTTCTAGGTTATCTGGAAAGAGAGAAACAATAGTCTTTGAAGGAAAGGAAGAAACATTTGGCAACATTGTGAGCAAATGGCTACACTTTTTTGGTTCCACTGTATTGGAACATAACATTAACAATTTTGAAGATTTAGGGTCAGTTGTAGATATTCTTATTAACTTGTAAATCTTTTGTACATGGGCGGCGACCCCTTGACGCCTCATATCAATATATATTCTACACTTTTCTTTCAAAAAAATAAAGGAAGTCCTCTTGGTATGGTTAAGGTTCAGTTCTAGAGTACAACACTATAGTTTTAGTGTTTTGAAAGTTTAATCTTAGCTACTAATGATATTGAAACATAACTAATTGCAGCTTGCCAGTCCCAGCAACTTATTAGCAGAAAATGGAAAATATGGATATTGATAATTGTGATGAAAGCAATGGAGGCACATCTATTTTAAGGCATAATGGTCTTTCTCTTAGGCCAGTATTGCCTGAGGAGTCTGGTGAAGGTTTACCATATGCTCCAGTAAATTTTCCTCGACCTGGAGATATCTGGCGCTGGAAGGTGGGGAAAAGGGTTGCCAGTAATGGCTATTTCTTGGATAGGTATCTGTATCTTCCAAAGCCTCTTTCCCGTTTGGACAATCAATTGGGTAGAAAATATATTTTTGCAAGCAAGCTTTCCGTTGAAAGATATATTCGCGCAGCATTTCCTGATGTGGATGTTGAGGCATTTTTTGCTTCATTCAGTTGGAAGATCCCCTCAAAACAGCTAAAACTAACAAATGGTCAGGTTTAATAAACTCTAACTAATACTAGTTTTATTTTCAAAATTTCAAATGTGCATTAGCTTTAATTTGTTTCTATATGAGTAGATATATCTTTTATTTACTTATTTTTTTGTGAAAAATTATTCTGTCTTTGATAAGTTTGATCAAAAAATGATGTTGTGGTGACAAATGCTTCTATTTCGTGGGTTTTTTCAATCAATTTGTTACTATTTATCATCTATGAGCAAAGTAGACCAAATAAACTTCAACCTAATTAAGACGACTTATCTACTAAAATTAACCTGATGAACATGCTTTCATTTGGAAAGACTTGAACTTCCTTTTTTGTATGCTCTGTATTCAAGGGGTTTCTATAAAATGCTCTTAGATTACTATTTAGAGCTCCATTGTTTATTAGCTCCTACTATGTGATGGTTCCCATAAAATAAAAATTCGTGTATAGAATATGTTGATGTTATTCATGCTTGTTTCATTAAGTAATTGAATATTTTGTTTTCTCAATGTTGCTTTCTAATAGGCAATGCAGTGGAGCAGACCCTATTTACAATACCTTCTGAGGAGATAGAAGAACTTTCAACGTCTGATTCCCAGTCTATTGGTGTGGCCTGTAAAGCTGGAAATAGGGCATGTACTAGTTTGTTGACAGACAAAGAAAATCCACTTTCAACTCTCATGCCTTGTGACATTTGCTGCAGTGAACCTCATTTTTGCCGTGAGTGCTGTTGTATTCTCTGTTGCAAGACCATAAACTTGAAGCATGGAGGATATAGCTACCTCAAATGTGAGGCAATGGCTGGTGAAGGTTACATATGTGGGCATGTTGCTCATGTGAACTGTGCTCTTAGATCTTACATGGCTGGAACAGTTGGAGGAAGCATTGGATTGGATGCTGAGTACTATTGCCGGCGTTGTGATTCACGGACAGATCTGGTCCTGCGTGTTGCAGAGCTTCTAGAAATATGTGAATCAATTAATTCTAGGGATGATGTTGAGAAGGTCTTGAATGTTTGTTTTTGTGTCTTACGTAATTCACAGAAAAGCCGTGCAAAGGAGTTGCTGAACTGCATTGAGTTGGCCATCATAAAGGTAAAGCCACTATACTTGTTTTCATACTTAAACAAACTTTCTCTATATCTTCCCAATGATTCCTATACCTATTATTAATTATCATTTGATATTTAAATCAGCTTAAATCTGAAACATCTCTAGAAGATATCTGGAAAATAGATGAGAGTAACTCAGCTCCTTGCACAGGTAATTTTCTTTCATATTTACAGGATCAATAAAATTTTTATTTATTAAACACTTTCTTTTTGGTGCAAATGTTGTATGATGACATAGTAATTTGAAAGTACCTTGTGTTTGTGAGCTGCACACATACACTCAGTGATGACGTGCACATGTATCTTTTGGGTGTTCCAGTAAGGAAAATAATCTTTTATGCAAATGCATGTGTTCTTCTGTCCAATACAGTTGAGCACTGGAACTATCATGATGAACCTGGTTCCAGTTGGTAAATTCCTTTGATGTGCCTGTACTGTTGTATGAAGGGACATAATCTTTGTGCAAATGCTTGTGCTCTATGAGGAGAGGATATCAAATCAATAAACTAGCTACACTAATGAGATAATCAGTGATGTCTCCTTGAGATCATAGAACTAAAAGTCATACCTGAGATTAGCCTATGAGTTTGGTATTTTGGTGGAGTTGTAAGGAAGATTTATGTTTTTCTTGCATGTGGTAATTAGGCTAGCAAGGACACTAGATATCACCAACATAACAATGGTGCATAGTAACTGCTTTCCGACAGTAATGTAATCCATATAAATACCAAAAAGTTTTCTGATATTGACGAGGCTTTTTCCTAAGGTGGACACAGCTTGTCATGGATAGTGTTTTTGGAAGATTAAGATATTTACCTTCAAGTATCTGTGGTGAAAAGAGTCTATACCTTGAGACAATAGGTAGAAACAATAGATATTTAGAGTTTGCTCTCTCTTTCTTCACTTGGCAACAACTTAACTTGATCACTCGTTTAACAGTTCATTGGTTGACAACTAACCACACATTAGTTCCATGTGTTAGAATTCAGGGGTGCTCTTGAGTTAGAGATGTGTGTTTTCTACAACTGATATGTTATTTTTGTCTTCATGGATTGTAATCTCTGAAGTAGGATGGTGAAACAAATTTAATGTCAGGTGATAGCCCAGATGCTGATAGAATACAGTATCTTGTGTATTTCTTGTTTTGTCTCTTGCATCAAATTTTGTTCAACTTTCACTCAATTTTTATCCGACTTCTAATTCTATATTCATAATCTTAATATTATTTACAATTGAGTTAGCTTTCAACATGGAAATTGAATTCCTGCCTTGAGAATTCAAGGTGGAATGATGAGGTAACTCGAATGCAAAAATTGATGTTGAAACTAAGTATAATCAAAATTAACATGACAATTAAGATTGGGAAGTAATTAGGAATTGAATAGAACTGAACCAAATGAGACCTCAAGGATTTTTTCTCTTTTTACTATTTTTTCCCTCAAACATTTTCTAGCTCTCATGCGGAGCAGGCTCTGCATCATGCATGTAATCCCTCATCTCTCTTCCTCTAGATTGATTTATCATCATTTGATTTCTTCTTTTTGGTCCATTAACAGGTGCTCATGATGGAGAGACTACACTGGAAGCAAACCACCAAGGCTGTCTGGACTTACCATCAATTTTTCTTATACCTGTCAATTATCAGAATGAAGCACAGAAACTTGAGGATGAAGTTTATCATGTTCTTCAAGAACTAAAACAGTCACAGGAGACTGAATATAAAATTGCAGAGGAAAGACTTTTTTCTCAGCAGAATTACCTTAATAATCTGTATCAGCAACTTGAGCAAGAGAAGGCTGAATTGTCACACCATAGATCAACTGCTGAAGCAGATGACTTACTGAGTGCTTTGTCGAAGAGATCTGAACAGATAAAATGCGAGGTCAAGAAACTCAAAGAAATGGAAGAAGTGACCAAGGGATTTGGAAGAACCTCTAAATATGTTCTGAAGGAACACTTTGGTCTGGAAATTGGGGATTGATTACAACCGTTTCTTTTATGATGAACCAAATTTGTCAGCTTTTACACCCAATTTTGCGATTGAGAAAACATATGCACATGCACCAACTTTGACACCATACATTGGATGATAGAGGTTAGATTGGTTCACCCAATTGCATCAGTGATTGTGCTATTATAGCTTGTAAGCTCAGATATGGGATTAAAAATAACCTAAGGGATTGATATATGCTGTGCAAAGGTTATTGGTTCAGAAATTGGCACCTGAAAATTTCCTCCACCAATCAATCATGATTTGAAATGATGTTACCAACGTAATTTTATACAGTTTGGAAACTATTTCATCTGGTGAATGTTGAAGTAGAATGCATAAATGTGTTGAAATTTTCTTGTTTGACAGTTCGGAAGTTTGGTGACCAAGCAACCTACCTGTTGGTTGTTTAGTGTATAGTCGCTACCATGCTATTGGTAAGTCACTCAGTATTTCAACATAATCTGACATCAAAACTGTCAGAAACTATAATCTATTATGAGCAATTCATATAAGGAGCTACTGGTAAGAACTGTCAGAAACTATGATTTATTATGAGCAATTCATGCAAGGAATAAGTGCAGCTTGAATGATGCTTTTGTCATAATTTGGTTTAGATTGATTGAAAATGTTGTATAAGCTGTGATTCTGAGGATTATTCTAGACAAACATTGTCTATTCTGGATTGTCAAATATATGATGATAGACCCGATTATTTGCTGTTAATCAGATCTGTAATGAGTAAAAATACTCACAATAATGGGAAAATCGTTTCAAGTCTTTGCTCTTGTGTATTTTGGCACTTAAAAATCTTCGCGAAATTTAGATAAAAATAAAAGTTAATAGTCAATGTTCGTGCTCCGCTAAACTAAAAATTAATAGTCACCCATTATATGTCATACAGTGGGTGATAGGTTAACCTACATCACCAACAAATATATAATGCTATTATTTGAAACGCGGTTGTTTAGTGTATGGCCGCTACCATGGTATTGGTAAGTCACTCAGTGTTTCAACATAATCTGACATCAGAATTGTCAGAAACTGTGATCTATTATGAGTAATTCATGCAAAGAGCTACTGGTAAGAACTGTCAGAAACTATGATTTATTATGAGCAATTCATGCAAGGACTAAGTGCAGCTTGAATGATGCTTTTGTCATAATTTGGTTTAGATTGATTGAAAATGTTGTATAAGCTGTGATTCTGAGGATTATTCTAGACAAACATTGTCTATTCTGGATTGTCAAATATATGATTATAGACCCTATTATTTGCTGTTAATCAGATCTATAATGAGTAAAAATACTCACAATAATGGAAAAATCGTTTCAAGTTCTTGTTCTTGTGTATTTTGGCACTTAAAAATCTTCGCGAAATTTAAATAAAAATAAAAGTTAATAGTCAATGCTCGTGCTCCGCTAAACTAAAAATTAATAGTCACCCATTATATGTCATACAGTGGGTGATAGGTTAACCTACATCACCAACAAATATATAATGCTATTATTTGAAACGCGGTTGTTTAGTGTATGGTCGCTACCATGCTATTGGTAAGTCACTCAGTGTTTCAACATAATCTGACATCAGAACTGTAAGAAACTGTGATCTATTATGAGCAATTCATGCAAGGAGCTACTGAAAAGAACCGCCAGAAACTATGATTTATTATGAGCAATTCATGCAAGGAATAAGTGTAGCTTGTATTATGTTTTTGTCATAATTTGGTTTGGATTGATTGAAAATGTTGTATAAGCTGTGATTCTGAGGATTATTCTGTACAAACATTGTCTATTCTGGAATGTCAAAATATATGATGATAGACCCTATTATTTGCTGTTAATCAGATCTGTAATGAGCAAAAATATCCACAATAATAGAAAAATCGTTCCAAGTCCTTGCTCGTGTATTTTGGCACTTAAAAGTCTTCGCAAAATTTAGACAAAAATGAAAGTTAATAGTCAATGTTCGTCTCCGCTAACTGAAAGTTAATAGTCACCCATGATATGTCATACAGTGGGTGATAGGTTAACCTACATCACCAACAAATAGATAATGCTATTATTTGAAACGGGGTTGTTTAGTGTATGGTCGCTACCATGCTATTGGTAAGTCACTCAGTGTTTCAACATAATCTGACATCAGAACTATCAGAAACTGTGATCTATTATGAGCAATTCATGCAAAGAGCTATTAGTAAGAACTGTCAGAAACTATGATTTATTATGAGCAATTCATGCAAGGAATAAGTGCAGCTTGTATGATGTTTTTGTCATAATTTGGTTTGGATTGATTGAAAATGTTGTATAAGCTGTGATTCTGAGGATTATTCTGTACAAACATTGTCTATTTTGGAATGTCAAAATATATGATGATAGACCCTATTATTTGCTGTTAATCATATCTGTAATTAGCAAAAATACTTACAATAATAGGAAAATCGTTCCAAGTCCTTACTCTTGTGTATTTTGGCACTTAAAAGTCTTCGCGAAATTTAGATAAAAATGAAAGTTAATAGTCAATGTTCGTGCTCCGCTAACTGAAAGTTAATAGTCACCCACTCTATGTCATACAGTGGGTGATAAGTTAACCTACATCACCAACAAATAAATAATGCTATTATTTGAAACGCAGTTGTTTAGTGTATGGTCGCTACCATACTATTGGTAAGTCACTCAGTGTTTCAACATAATCTAACATCAGAACTATCAGAAACTGTGATCTATTATGAGCAATTCATGCAAGGAGCTACTGAAAAGAACCGCCAGAAACTATGATTTATTATGAGCAATTCATGCAAAGAATAAGTGTAGCTTGTATGATGTTTTTGTCATAATTTGGTTTGGATTGATTGAAAATGTTGTATAAGCTGTG